AAGTCCAGGGGAGGAAGCCCCATCATAGTAAAGAGGATACTAATGTGATGTGTGTAGTTCTTCATAGCCTCTTCATTTTGCTCTCAAAGTGCACGGAATTGATGGATTTTTAACAGAATGTAGAAAAAATTTCTCCCGGGGGGGGATGCCCCCGGACCCCCCTAAAGGGGCTGTGTTCCCCTTGGGGCTAAGCCCCCCTTGTTCTTCAAACCTAGTGACGCCCCTGCTTACACGAGTAATACGGCTTGTGAAGCGATAGATGTTAAAGAATTTTGTCACTAGAAGCACACAGTCCGCAACCGGTGCAGTTTTCCCCGCTAGTAATGTGTAGTTGTAACTTCTACTAGTGCGCTTTAGTTGTTCTACTAATCGTGCACATCTTATGAGGATAAAAAGCATAGAAATACTGTATGTAGACCAGTGGTCCTCAACTAGAAATGCTGTAGGTCCACTTTTTTTTTTTTTTAAATAAGACCAAGGTCCGGTCCCATGCAGGGCGGTCATGGGGTGCAGGGCTATATGCCCATTTAGTATGGTCAAGCCAAGCTTATACAAATCAACTCTCCTCACAACCAACCAATAATGGGGTGCATGAAAATAACAATTTTTCACTTTGCCAGTACACAGCAAATAATGAGAGGCATTGTGTTGAGGCACAGGAACTCTTATTTTGTTAAGTTGTGCCTGCTTAATAATAGAAATAGCCCTTTTAGGGGGAATGTGCAGTGCTGTTCTTCCACTAAAGGTGAATGCAATGTTTGAGGCATGCAAATATTATTTGAGGACGCCATTGTGATGTTCATTTACCATGTTGCGGTGTTCTGCTTTTAAACAGCTGCAAAGATCCCCGGGTAGACGGGAGCAAAACTGCACACAATCGAAACCTCCCGCGATTCGTCTTGTCTAATTGTCTGTGTGCAGCTCTCCTGGACTGAAGCTGTGAGCACAACTGTGGCGTCGCGCATGCGTCTGTTTCCTGACACAATCATCCATTTTGAATGCGTGTGTGTTGGGATAGACGCGTGCTGACGCTTATGTATGGGCACACCTTAAGTTCAGAGGAGCCAATCAGCGCATCGTTATCGCCGACATGCCCTGCTCAGCCAGGGTCTCCAGTTAGTCAAACATTATACAACACACAGTCGCGCTGCTGCGGTCCTCTGCAATACATCTGTTAGTGCATGCAAAGAATAAAACGGATAATTTTAACAAGCGATCGCGGTAATGCGCAGATTATAGTCCACAAATATAAAATGTATAACGTAAAAATCACTTTATAATTTATTATTTTATACAATTTGCCGAGGGTCCGGACAGAGGAGGTCCGGACAGAGGAGGTCGGCGGTCCGGTCGTGGATCGCGGTCCGCCAGTTGAGGAAGGCTGATGTAGACAACTCAGCACAGTAGTAGATATCAAATGCTCATTTTGCTTGTCATATTTAGCTCAAAAAGATGCTGAAACGGAAATCCATAGATTTGTTACAAACTACATGATATAACTTTGAAGATAATTGCTGCTATTAAGTACTCAGATGTGGTGATTGAGCCTTAAGATACCCCCGACCCCATTTCAGTTTTAATTTTTTGTGGGTAGTGATTGACTTCAGTCTGGCATTATTCGCCCCAGGCCTCATGTCAGAACAGACATAAGAGATGTGTTGCTTGACAGCAGAGCGTTAATCACAGTGTAGCTTCAGCACAGTTTCAGTTACGTAAAACAGATTCAAATCCAAGCTTTGGTGTGAGCATGCGATAGATAAAACAGATATAGCATAAAATCGACAGACAGACAGATAATTTCATGGTAAATAGTTAGGGCGCCCCCTGTCAGCCGGGGTTGGCTCACACATTCAGCGGTGAGGAATCCTCATCATTCAGCCGTTGTCGTCATCGTCATTGTAGCATCGTGTGCGTGCTCGTGTGTGTCTGTGTTTGTGTTTGCAACGACACTCCGTATTTCGGAGAGCACACAGTCTTGATTTCGGTGAGTGGGAACACGATAATTCGTTTTTATACGCTGCTTTTCCCCTCCGATTTTGAATATACAGACACTCGCTGCACAAGTTAGCGTCGAAGGTTAGCTGTATCCAGTTGGCTAAGAGAAATTGATAGGTGGCTTAGTCGAAATATGTTCGAAAGGCGCTCCGCGATGAGCGCTTGGGCATCTACTACACTTTTGGCTTTAAGTGTTGTTAGCGAAACGCTATACTGTTGTAGTTTCATTTGTGGTTGTTTGTAGTTTGCAGCAAAGGTTTGTTAGCTAGCCAAGCTAACTTGGACGCGTCAGTTATCGGATACGGTCGACTAGGCTTGATTTTACCAACGCATTATTGTCAAATTGAATGTATACACGAGTTGTCATTGTATACTTCTAATGCCCATGGGTTCATTTCGTCGATGTCAGTTTTGCTTTGTTTACTCACAACGGCCTACAAGCATTAGTGATGGGAATCGCTGGGGTGAGAAGTCGTAATTAATCTGACTGTTTACAAAATGCGAAATGATTCAGAAGTATAAATAATAATATAGCACTTAGAGTCTCGAGCTTTATATGTTGCCTACTTGATGGAGTTGCTCGAGTTTTAAAACGCTGCACCACGCAAGCCAATCAGTTTGTTGCTTGTACCATGCTTATTTATCGATAATGAGTGAAGGTAGTTTAAAAAGCAGAGCAGTAATTTAGATGCTTGATTGAGAATAACCTGGTGAGACTCGGTGAGAGTCAGATGAAGCAACTAAGAGGGTGCGGCATCTGCGCTCATCTTCCACCATCACATAAACGATGCACTCAAGCAACTGCACGGGGATTTCGCAGCTGTGTGTGTGTATTCAAACATTTTTAAGGCAGAATTAACACTTGGATTCCAAGTGGCCAATTCCAAATTGATTCCCAAATCATTTTTTTTAAATGTTACTATTTACACTTACAATGAACTCCTGCTCTAATATGCCCCCACCCCCCACTGTATCACAACAGTTTCAAACACTCATTTGTATGGGTTTCTACTGTATGAAGGCAAGTCAGAATTTAGAGTTGCTCACCAACAGTGTCGAACCATGTTGCACAGCAACATGCTGGGCAGCTCCGAGATCTCCTTGAAGAGATGCTGTGTAATTCAGAATAACAACAACACAAGAGGAATTATCGCTGTATGAGCTACATGTCAGTGGCAAGGAATAAAGACATTATTGTGTAAATTAAGCTCAGCTGGATATGTGTTCTGGATGTGTTAGGCAGAGCACAAGGATCATCAGCGTATGCTTCTGTCCGCACATGTGAGCTACATTAGCACATAATTGCTCGTGCGTAAATATTTGCGCGCCCTCGCTCATTTGCCAGCGAGTTTCCAGGTTCATACTACATGCATGCGAGCTGTCAGTTGCCAGTTCGTAACGATGACAGACCTCGATGCATATACGCGTAAACGGCTGTTTGCACCGACCATCAAGCAAGCTGTATTACTTGCGTTCCGTATTTCATTTTTAAGCATTTTTATTTGTATGCATGTAGGAAGTTGCAATGCCAAATATTGTTAAATATATCATTTTTTAATATGCATTGAGCTATTACAACCATATTTTACACTATAGATAAAACACAATATAAAACATTTCATCATTACTTTGCCTAGTAACTACTTTTGCAAGGCAAGAACCGAGTTGGGAACTCTCATCTTCTGGATAAAGTAATTTGTAACTATAACGAATTACTTTTTTAAATAACATCCCCCACACCGGTCCCATCACTACTTTATGGGAGAAAAGCATCTTCCAATGAATTATAGAGCTTGGAGCAAGTTAAAGCTTCTCCGGCTAATTTAAATAAACATAACTTTTTCCATTGCTAAGCAGAGATGGTGTGTGAGCGTAAAGTGACATGATTATTGTGGGAAATGTGTAACAAAACTAAATAAAGAGCAGGCGATTGTGGCAGTCGCGGCTGGATCCTTTTTTTTTCTCCTCCACGTTTATAAAAGATCAATTCGTCACAGTCCTCCTTGATGCCATGGGGGGAAAAAATTCAGAACCAAAATACACTTCTTGCACGAGACGTTAACACTCATTTGTGGAAAGAGGACTCAATAAGCAAAATCGTCAGCAAGCGAACAACAGATTCCCTAGGAATCAAATTAGCGGGAAACAGTTCTCACAATGAACAATTTTTTGTCTACATCCCTATTTGGGCGTGTTTTTGTTATTCTGCTACAGTGGACAGCAGATCTGCAGCCCTGTATACTAAGCCAGAGAACGATCTCTTCATCATGAACTGCGACATAGATGGTATGTGTACTCTTTATTGGCATAGGGTCCAAGAACAATTAATTTGTAGTGGGGAGGTAATGCTGCTCGATTGTCTTTCAGGGGACATGGAGAACCAGGTGGAGATGGAGGAGAAGACAAGGCTCATAAATCAGGTGTTGGAACTTCAGCATACTCTGGAAGGTGACATAACCATCATTTTTTTTCTCGTCATTCTAAAACTTTTATGAAGTGGCATGGATTAACATGTTAGTGTTCTTAACTGTCATACAAGCATACGCTGACATTCTCTACGTGAAAAAAAAAACACTTAAAATTGATGACGAATGAGGAAGGGTATTAAACATTGTGTTATTGTTGCACCTAACACATCTCTCTCTCTCCTTTTGTTTTTTTACATTAACTGACACTGAAGTATAAGAAAAACCAACCAATGTAATGTAAAACATTAAACAAAACACACTACCTCTTGATCGCCACTGGCATATGGCATCCAGCTTGAGAAGCTAATACAGCAGTCTTCATCTTTATGGGATGCTTGTCCATGACAAACGGCAAAACCAAATTTCACTGCAGTGCAAAATGGTGCAAAAAGACAGCAAAGTAATACTGTATGTCAACTGAGGAAGAATTGCATTAAGTTCCCAGGTGCTGTTGACCAGACCACCTTACAAGATGCAGTTCTATGTATATGGGAACTCTCCTGGAGTAATTGGCTGTATTGATGGATGTCATGTTCCCATGAAGTATCCTTCAACAGCAGATGCTGAACTGGCCACATGATCATCATCTGGGATACCTTCCAAGGGTTGTTGGCTTTCAATTCTTCCCAGGTCATCGATATCCAGTCCTACTGGGTTCGTCCACCTGTCTTGAAGAGCTCCTTTCGAGGAGTTCCTGTGGTTCTCTTTAACTGTATCTTTAATGTTTTTCCACTGTCCCTTTACAGTGCGTTGCATGAACATAAAACACACATTTCAGTCCATGTGGTTTTTTTTTTCTGATGCTGAATCGTGATTTGTCCTCTCCTTTGTACCACTTGATTACCTGAGTCTGAGACTCTTTAGGAGCATGTAAATTTCAAGTTAAACATCATCTCAGGAAGCAATATGGTTAGTGTGAAAGACGTTTCGTCTAGTCCTGGTTTTGTTTAAGATTTGTACGGGAAACTGGGCCTTTATGTGTCAACTCTATAGTAGTTTACGCGCAACTCTTCTTCATGTGAATATGAATGAAACTTAAGTTCACCTGTCAAGGTAATCGCGCATTGTATGTTGATCCTGAAAATTCAAAATTTACGTGGGCTTTAAGTCAACGTGATGTTTTTGAAGCACAACAGCGAGGCGAAGAACTACGAGTTCTGAAATAAAAGAAAATGCTCAAACGAAATGTACGGTAATGATTTCTCACAATGATGAGGAACAGATAAATATCAATATGCAACACTTTTTCAATAAATCTCTGCCCATGTTCATATTTTTGAATGATCACATCGACAACTTTGCTAGGACATCACAACAGCGGGGTTATCTTTAGGACCGGTCTGCAGGCTCCTGTGGTCCTTGGGGGGCTGCCTGGTGGATGCGGGCACCATGATGGTGACCCTTGCGCTACAGCAAGGGGCTCAAACTCTGGTCCTCCAGGGCTGCTTTCCTGCATGTTATCCGTCAGGATTTATTCATCATCATTTTTCCTTGTGGGCAATTCCTAAAAAAAAACGTATCTGTTTGTTGCAGACCTGTCTGCGCGGGTGGACGCGGTCAAAGAGGAAAACTTGAAGTTAAAGTCGGAGAACCAGGTCCTGGGTCAGTACATCGAGAACCTCATGTCTGCGTCCAGCGTCTTTCAAACCACGGACACCAAGAGCAAACGCAAGTGAGTTTGGGCTGAGACGATAGACGTGTAGGAGGCGGGTAACGTCCTTCCCCAGACTTCCCTGGTCCCAAATTGAAAATGCTTCGTCACCTGTTCTGCTTGCTCTGGCAGCACTGATTCACTTTTGATTTGTCACATGGCACTTGTTTTGGGTTATTATCGCAGCTCAATCATTGACAAGACATGTGGAGCCCTAATTGCGTGTGCAAGGCATACATGTAAAAAAAAAAAAAAAAATCCATGTGTAGGTAATTTGTAAATGGGTGCTAAAGGATTGCAGATAATTGTCGAGCTTAATTAGACTTGAATTAACATTCACAACACAACTGTTGTACATGCAACTCGCCACACACGGGCAAATATCGATCGACACAAATAGACAATTGCCAGGTGTTCAAAGTTTTTGCTCTCGCTATTACAGATGAGAGACGTGCGCCTAAATTAGTCCACGAAAGGGTCATGAGTCACTTCTTACTTTTCTGTATGTCTGATGTCATAGCTTTGCACCGTTGTCACCAACCTGGTTTTCTGTTGAATGTGATCCCCGCTTGTCTCAGCCTTCATCGTGTAAGTGGGGTGAAGCAAACCAGGCTATAATCAATAATGTTTTTTTATTTCTAATGTATTCGTGTTTTTGTCATTAAGTCATCATGACCACACGTTGCATGAGTGTTTTTCTCCACTGCCAAGCAGAACGGTGTTCCCATAAAGTGTATTAGAATGGCATGTAGACCTTTAGTTAAAACATATGTATAATGAATCCTAACTCGTTTTGTCAGTCATGATACAAAAAAGAAATGTTTTTTTTTTTTGCTGCTGCTGCATCTGTATGAGTTGAGACAGGAAGCGCTAGACGCAAGCAGAGATCAGAATGCTTTCTACGCCAAAGCAGTTAAGTGCATTTGAGTGCTATTGATCTCCTGTCGGAGACAAGGACAGGAAATGGATGCTGGTCTCCACCTTGAACTGCAAAATGAAGGGCATGTCCCTTTTGAAAAATGGAATTAGCATCAACAATAAAATGCTCGTCGAATGTTCGCTTGATTGGAAAAGTAGTAATTCATGTTATAACAGTTGGTGGAACCTAACTACTCATTAAAGGGAAAAGTTGTAATTTATTTAAATGATTTTGATATATTTAGGTTGTATGAAAAGTATTTTAGAGAATAGTGTACACTCCAGGAGCCATCTTGTGTGAAGATACCATGCACTGTTACTTTGAAACATTGTTTATAATAAAAGCTTTAGTTCTACGCTCACTCTGGATTTATTTGATCCTCAGCACATCATGAGATAATGACTACACCTGAGACAGATACTCTAATATTAAATATTTTATTTTATTTTCAAGAGCAATGTGCAGTTTGCAAACAGATGTCAACGGGGATATGGTATATGCCAATGTCTGGCGGGAACTTTACAAAAGCTTTTGAGATTTGGGGGGAGGGGGCTTTGTCTTCCAAGGGCATGTCGTAAATGTCGCAAAAAGCATTGCTTTTGCAAAAATATGCTCACAGAACTGGCAAGGCATTCACAGTTGGTGCTCAAATCAAACAGACACACACCCATGATTCATACATTACATAATTACGATGACCCTCCAGCCATTGGACAAGAATATTTTGTTACCTGTTAAAGGAATGCACCGTGTACATCGATAAAAGATTCTGTGCTCGATCCGATAAACAGCGGGAAAAAATGTTTTGGTGTATTGGCCTTAAGCGGAGGTCTCTGCACGACCGCGTACCCTTCAAGTTAATCATCATTCTATATGAGCAGAACATTTGAAACTAGAGATATTGATCTCTAAATTGTCAATATAAAGACACCGAAGTAAATGCTCGGATGAAACAATTTACAGAAACCTATGAGGTCCCCTTTCTTCACTCTGCGGTAACCTCATTGTCTCCGACTGAAACTCTTACAAAGTGGAAAAACTCAACAAGGTTAGGAACTTTGTGTCCTTATACATGTTCTTGGAAGCAATGAACATGAAAGCTGACAGTCCAGATGCTGTACACTGCCTTTACTCTGAATAGACAGATTGATGACTAGAGAGAGAGAAAGAACCACATAGAGACAACCACATGGTAGGCTGCCAGGCAATAGTTAAACAAGGCAAAGAAAGAATGATGAATATTTCGAAGCAGACGATCAACTGCAGGAGGGGAAAAAAGTAGTAATGCACAAAGTACTCGAAATGCATATGAAAGGCGAGATGAGGAGGAGCTCCGGCTGTAGTTTGTTGGTCGCAGAAGGATGAACGAAAATGGGATAGCCCGGGATACTGGAGGCTACCGGGAGATTGTGGAGGAAAATGCACGTTCAGTCCAGCTCATGGAGGAACGATGGCGCTTCCACGTTGTCCCTGCAGGGGAGTTGGAGACAGTAGGTGTCGCTGTCACCTCAGTCTTTTCGTACCCTCCTCTTTCTCACGGATTGTTTGTTGCTCTCCACAGCGTCACTGTCTCCGTCGGGCTGGAAGGAAGGACACCGTGAGTAAAATGAAACAGTGATAATGCGCCCAATGCTGTCGAGTGTCGCATGCGCTGCCCATGAATACAAACGATGCCTTCAAATAAATGCAACTTCGACCAATCGATTTTCAATCTAATTTCTGGATTCCAGACCACAATGAATCCTTTTCTGGGGTACAGATGTCACTTTTTCACTTACCTCCTCCTCTTCTAATCGTCTCTCAGGAGCTTTGCTTTGTTCTTCCTCCTCCTCTTCTTCTTCCTCCTCCTCCTCCTCCTCTTCCTCCACTTCTTCCTCTTCTCCACCCCGCTCAATGTCACAATCCCCCTCTGGTTGGTCACTTCTTAGATTTGTAGCATTCTCAGCCTCTGCTGTAGTTTGAATGTACAGTGTGTTTGAGTAAATGGGAAAACCAACATTCGTCGAGGTGTCCGTCTCACCTGCAGGTGCTTCAGCGTCCGCGGCCTCAACATCTTCATCATCCTTGTCTGCACCAGCTGCTGCCTCTTCCTCCTCGTCTTCTTCATCCTCTTCTTCTATGTCAGCCTGTGGCACATCCACTTTCTTGTACACATAGTCATCGGGTTTCTGCGAGAAATTTGGGAGGGGGATTAATATTGTGCAGATAAACATTAAAGTTTGACTGAAATAGCTCATGGTACCTTAGGCCAGCAGAAGAGCACAACAAGACCCACTGGCAGACCGACCGTCAGGACGTAGACCACCCAGAGCCATGGGCGCTCCTCTGCTGCAATCATCAACTGAGCAAAAATCCCAGGCTGAAGGGAGGACAAGTTAACCCTTGTTAATAGGACCCAGTGTATGCGCACTTATTGTTCTAATGAGGCGTGCGTTAACGCTAACCTCATTAGCACTGGCCACGAGCTTCTTCAAACCCCAGCTGTCTGAGGCCCAGCGATCAGCAACTTCCTTGCGGGACGTGACAATGAAGTTGTCGAAGTAGATGTCGGAAGTCATGGACCACAGTTCTAAGCCCACTGCTTTGAAAGGCGTCATTTTAAATGGCTGCAGGTCTTCAAAATATTCAGGGTTCATAACTTTACGTGGCTTCCAGGAACCCTTTGGTGAAAAAGTAATAATGAAATAAAAGATCAACATCACTTATTCTCATGAGATTGCACGCCTGTGATCATCAGTTGGTAGTACATAAGTTCATCGCAAGAGCGTGGCAGATTGTTCTGCACCTGGCTTTCAGACGCAGTATTTAAAGATGCAAAATCAGCCACCGCAATCTCTCTCAGGTTTGAAACATCACATTGCGTGTGGTACATTTGGATCTATTCCGTCCAGTATTTAGTCTATTGGTGTAAAAACTAATTGCATTTTGTAAACACAATTCAGGGAGCGCCTGGTTAGTAGACCAGCTTCGATACCTATTTGCGTGAACATTCAATTCTGCACCCGTTTTTGCATGCGCAAACCTTTCGTAAACCAACCAGGAAACAAAGCAAAGTCAGGCAGCTGGTAGTTACCTGATAGTTGGGGTTGTCTACCAGTGGGGCTTTCCACTTGCCCTTGTACTGAGGATTGTTTATCATGGGGCGCTTCCATGGCCCACACCCTGGAGCATTTTCACATGCTGGGTTGGGGATCTGCAGGGCCTCCCATTCTCCATCCATATCCTTATCCCTACACACAGCAGAGCTGTCAGGCTACATAGTTCCGCAGCATAAATGATGAAAAAATAAAAGAATACCAGAAATCTGTGAGTAACTGACCCCCACCCCAAAGAGTTTGTAATGACCTACTGCGGTTTTTGGAGGAGGACCACCTCTCTGGAGGCATCTTCCTGTAGCAGTTCATCTTCTTAAATGGAGTCTGACGTCGTTCTAACATTCTATTTGGATAGTAGTATATTTTCTTGAATGCTGCCCACATGATTTAGATTGCAGCCTGGGCAGGGGTATCCCCCCCCCCCATCTGTGGCCCCTTCTCAAGGTTTCTCATCCCCCCCAGATGGTTTTTTTTCTTGCCCTCCTGTGAGGTTAAGATCAGGGGATGTTGTTACTATTGGTCAACTGTGGGCACGTGAAGCCCTTTTGAGGCTATTCTGTGATGAAGGGCTCTCTCAATAAAATGGACTTGACTTATAGGTGACACAAGATGGTGGCAAATGGCTACTTTTGTCTCAATGAAGCTCCTCAATTCAATTGACTTAAAATTGTTTCCCTAACAACAAATTGCCACCAGATGGTGCCAGAGCATTATCTTTTTCGCTTTGGCTCCAAAGAACAAATGGTCCGTTTTTTTCACAATCGATCTTGCAAAAGAGAAAAGGTGCATTCCTGAATGCGAACCGCATGTATGCTGCGCTTCACTGTATGGTTTTGTTGGAAACGTGTTCACTATCTACTTGCCAGTCTTCTGGTTTCTCAGAATTCGGATCGGAGATGAATTCAGGTTCCTCGTCCAGCCAGCCCTCCGGCTGCACTGCATCTGGGTCTTCAATCTTTGCAGGTGCATCCTCATCCCTGACACAAAGTCGTTTTTACTACAAATCGACAGTCATTTGGCAACATTTCAAAATGGCAGTTTGCTGGCCAAGTTAGTTCTACTAGTGTGGATGTTCACCAGTCGTCAGGCTTGACAGCGTCGGGGTCAGGAATCTTGGCCCTCTCATCCCAGTCCTCTGGCTTGGAGTCGTTTGGATCGTCGATCTCTTTGGGCGGGTTGACTGGAGGCACCACGTCATTCAGCAGGTTGCCGCGGCTCACGCTGAACTGGTCAATGAACATCTCATAGCTGTTGTCTGGGTTCAGGACTGGCAACGGAGGAACAGACAGACATGCATTACTGATATTTGACTTTCTAAGTGCAACTATTTAGATGTGCTGTCATGAGAGTTATTTGATACTTTGAGGGGAAAAGTAGTGGCGGCTGGGAATGAGTAAGTTGAGTGAGTTCTCAATGCAAGTGCACAGAGAATAATGGTGTTTCTGGAGGACGGCACTGTAGTTGCACCTCGCCCTGAGCAGGGACAGCGGTTACTACAGCGGACGAGATTGCAGCCTGGGCAGTGTTATCCCCCCCCCCCATCTGTGGCCCCTTCTCAAGGTTTCTCATCCCCCCCAGATGGTTTTTTTTCTTGCCCTCCTGTGAGGTTAAGATCAGGGGATGTTGTTACTATTGGTCAACTGTGGGCACGTGAAGCCCTTTTGAGGCTATTCTGTGATGAAGGGCTCTCTCAATAAAATGGACTTGACTTATAGGTGACACAAGATGGTGGCAAATGGCTACTTTTGTCTCAATGAAGCTCCTCAATTCAATTGACTTAAAATTGTTTCCCTAACAACAAATTGCTACCAGATGGTGCCAGAGCATTATCTTTTTCGCTTTGGCTCCAAAGAACAAATGGTCCGTTTTTTTCACAATCGATCTTGCAAAAGAGAAAAGGTGCATTCCTGAATGCGAACCGCATGTATGCTGCGCTTCACTGTATGGTTTTGTTGGAAACGTGTTCACTATCTACTTGCCAGTCTTCTGGTTTCTCAGAATTCGGATCGGAGATGAATTCAGGTTCCTCGTCCAGCCAGCCCTCCGGCTGCACTGCATCTGGGTCTTCAATCTTTGCAGGTGCATCCTCATCCCTGACACAAAGTCGTTTTTACTACAAATCGACAGTCATTTGGCAACATTTCAAAATGGCAGTTTGCTGGCCAAGTTAGTTCTACTAGTGTGGATGTTCACCAGTCGTCAGGCTTGACAGCGTCGGGGTCAGGAATCTTGGCCCTCTCATCCCAGTCCTCTGGCTTGGAGTCGTTTGGATCGTCGATCTCTTTGGGCGGGTTGACTGGAGGCACCACGTCATTCAGCAGGTTGCCGCGGCTCACGCTGAACTGGTCAATGAACATCTCATAGCTGTTGTCTGGGTTCAGGACTGGCAACGGAGGAACAGACAGACATGCATTACTGATATTTGACTTTCTAAGTGCAACTATTTAGATGTGCTGTCATGAGAGTTATTTGATACTTTGAGGGGAAAAGTAGTGGCGGCTGGGAATGAGTAAGTTGAGTGAGTTCTCAATGCAAGTGCACAGAGAATAATGGTGTTTCTGGAGGACGGCACTGTAGTTGCACCTCGCCCTGAGCAGGGACAGCGGTTACTACAGCGGACGGCTTATCATGTTATCAGGTTACAGAGGGCATGAAAGGGTTGAACGCCCGATATTAGCGATTTAAAAATCAGCATTTTTTTTTTTTAAATAAACACAGTACAACATAAGACACAGAAAATGAAAACCCTAATCTTCCCTGCGTGCCGGGGCCCGACATGCCACCATACCCAAAGTGTAGAGGTGAGTCTTCTTGTCAGTGTAGTACTTCTTGAGGTCCACATCAGCCCGCTTGGCGTGCTTTTCCTCTAAATCTTTGTTCAAGGGATTCTGGTGACGGAAGATGAAGTGCAGCTTGTAGTCCTCGCCGCACTTGTCGGGTCCAAACATGATGGAGTAGGGCGTGCGGTCATGGAATTGTTCCTGAAAGGCCGGACATTAAGTGAGTTTAGAAACAATTCTAATAACATTTTAAAATAAATTAACAAAAAAGTGTTTGTATTATGAGGTATTCTGGTCACAAACTTATGCGGTGTGTGTAAGTAAGGCATCAATTAGCTGACTGTGTCAAGTCTCATGTAAGCTCGACAACACGTTTACGCACCAGATTGACATCACCAGTGTCTGAAAGCAGTTTAATGTAAGCCCCACCACAGTCAATGCCATCCTGGAAATTAACTTCATACCTAGACAAACAAAAAAATATCAACAAAGCAATTCCATTCCATATATTTTGCCAAGTGGGAATACATTTTTTGTTCATTAACAAACTGCGTTTCCTTTGTTGGAAATCAAGAAAGCATCACGGGCATAAACACCCAAAAGCAAATATACCGTATATGCATTCATTTGTGTGTACTGACTGTACGACAAGGGGTTCATCCTGGAAGACGAAAGGTTTGTCCAGCATGGCGGCGATGGCATGATGCTTGGCGCGGGATTTGAGCACCAAGCCTTGGTCTCCTGGAATCTTGTTTTCCTTCAGCTGTTCCACAGCCCACTTTCCTGCATTTAGCACACACAGCAAGTCAACGGCCTTTTTTTTTCCAAGGCGCAAATGGCTGCATGCTTTGTAGGACCCACGAGAAAACACACACACCCCCACACACTTTCTGGTTGAAGTGAAGATCGAAACAAACCATCATATTTGGCGATGTCATCATCTGCATCTTCCTTCACTGTTTTGGACAACTGCCATCTAAGGAGAACACAAACAAACAATAAATGACTACAACTCCTGCTTGTTTCAGATATATTTGTTTAGTATTTAGCAGCATGGTGGCCGAATGTGTGTGCGGGTTCAAATCTAGGCTCCGGCTTTGCTTTGTAAAGTTTTGCAGAACAATAATTCCAATCGGTTGAAAGCATAACACGTGTTCACTTTTCAGCATGGCAAAACAGATTAGATGCACAGCAAAGCATGAAGCAGCTCCGGTAGAAAGGACAGACGCTCACTCTTTCCTATATCATTACGTTACAAGATACCTACGAGGATAACAATTGGACTTAAAATAACCGTTAAATGTGTAATAGGCGTATTCTATAGTTTGGCGCGAGTACTTTCCACGGTAGGAACATCATGAAGTTTTTACTTTTCAAAGATAAGGAAATACAAGAGCTCCTCCAGCTAATGCCACGAGCGTCAACTCTTTTTTAAGTTTGAACACGCTTCTCATTTTGTCAGTTTGTCATTATATGTTGAAACAGTTGTGCTCATCGGTTTACAAAACCTCAGGGTCTGTAATCTCATGAGCACAACTGCACATGCTGACCAGAGGCTCACGTGCCACTTTACAGCAAAAGCCGAAGTGCTGCTCGCATTCAGATGAGAGATTACCTGTCAAGAGAGCCATCATCAAATGTCTCAACAAAGTGCACATCTCCAGTGGGCACGGGAGTCTCATATGTCACCTAGGAAGCCAACATCAATCAAATGGGTTAACAGGTAGCAATTTTCACATTTCTTCCAGTCCCACTTTTAGTGTCCAGTTATTCTTTACTCACTTGAAAGGACACCTTGTCACTGGCTGTGGTTTTATGGTCTGTTTCTTTTGCCTTATTTTCCTCAATGTCCTCCTCCTCTTCCTCCTCCTCCTCTTCAGTGACTAAAGGCTCCATTTCCTCTTCGTCCAAACCAATCTCTTCATCAACATCCGATCGCTCAACTTCGGACTGCTTTTGGGCCATTACCAGTGCCACGGTCAGGAAAAAGAGGAACGGCATCCGCCGCATCCAGCGCCTGTCCAGCTTCATCTTTTAAGAGAAATGAACAGGGCGGTGGTTATGTGAGAGGGCAACAACACTGACAATAAAACACTCAAGACAAAGTGCATACAATGATGCAGGGCTAGGAAATGGTTAGAGAAAAAAGGGAGCATGCCATCACATCAGCACATTGAGCAATCTCTGCTTGGATTAAAATAGCTCATTTTCTTCCCAAAACAGCTTTTCCATAACACATCGTGTATCCAATAGGCACACAACCTCAAAAAGGTGTTCTGGATTTCATTCTTTGCTTGTTCCTAACTGCAACAGTGGATGGTGCATGTGAGGTTTGACAAAATGGCTTTTGACACCGGCTTCCTTCCGCTTGCCAAAAACATGCATGTTCACTTGAATGGCAGTGATTGACTGGCAGCCAGTCTCCAGTGTAATCTGTCCTCTCTCTCAGGGTCCGTTGCTCCAGCACACCATGATCCAAAACAGCATAAAAGTAGGTTGGATGCCTCTAAAATGCAAAGGACTATTGTATTGAGAAAAAGGTTTGAAACGTTGAACCTTTCTTTCCTTTGATGATTCATTGAACCAGACAACACACTCTGGCTCACAGTTCACAACTGTTACAAATTCCTTTGCAAGCACGGTGTTTTATTGACTCCCATGTAAAACAACCGGATGGAGTGGACATTTCAGTAATTTCTCAGTTAATCAAATGCCCAAATTCTTTTTATCTTCAATGGCATTAGAGATACTCATCACGGCATTTTATTGAGCTGAGCTGCGCAATCGATTGTAATGTCCATTTTTAATTATGATTTTCAAGTCGGGTCACCATTAGAATACAACAGAAACTGTCACTCAAATAAACAATAGCTTATTTATTTGATTATTTCAATTAACCAGCTGATCACATCAATCTCTTGAGAGTTTATCATTCATCATTTCAAACAGCAATGATTCCCCAAATGGACGATGGAATCCATCCAATCGGTGGATTCCAAAAAGATGTGTTTGTGACACCTCATATATAAATAAAAGGGTCTTGTGATTCATCAGTGTCCATTCAATGTATCGATTTCTATTCATATGATTCAAAAACATTGATCTCTGCTTAGCAAGTTGGCCTTCCAGATAAAATACATCAATTTAAAATTATTTTCATGATGCGGAGCCTCCTTTAAGCACCACCGTGTTCTGGGAAGTTGATTCAGTTTTGGACTGGCCTGTGTTGTTCTGAATGTCGAACAAATTTTCCTGAAAAAGAAAAGTAACTGGTTATATTCCTTTTAAGATTGTTTATATTATTCAACAGAAGAATTCTCAAAATTTTACATGCACTGTACCCAGTAATCAAACGCACATATCCCTTTTTGGAGTAAACAGCGCACCCACATAAGAATTTAAAGAAACATTGAAAAAGTGGGGCATGAGCAGCCTGGAGTTGGCAGAATGTTCTCTACTATACATTTTGACATTCATCAAAACATACAACTTTTGTGATGGCCCTTAGTAGAATTCATTTACATGGCCGCAAGCTGAAAAAGGATTGGAATAAACCCACAAAATGAGTGGAAGATGTGCAGCCAAGAATGAAATGAAGACAAAAAATTTTGGTGGAAGCAAAACGATACAAATGAAGTTGTCAATGTACGACAGGTCAATCCTTATGATACTGTTGAGGCCAACGGAGAAGGCCTTGAAGGCCCTGGCTGCATGCCGCTCAGCTAGCTTAAAGGCTAATTTTACAATAGCAGTGTAAATTACTAACTGCTAGATACTGTACAAATGGCCAAATTTACTCATAATTCCGAGTAAAAACGTAGACCTTGTAACATTCTTCTCATTGTACATAATAGAGCTCAGTCATTTTATATCGAGATTTTAGCAAATTGGTTCAAGTTCACTTACCGTGTCAAAACACAGGGGGGAAACGGTGCTGACTTGTATCTCAGAAATGATTGATGAGTGCAGGTGCAAATGCGGAGCTTAATTATTTACCTCCGCAGAGTTAATCAAACACTATGTGAAAGAGCACTTACTCTAGACACAATTTAACTCTGAAAATGTTAAAATTACACTTTGGGGGAAAATGTAACCCTCAAATCAGTCCAATTTTGGATGTATATATAACTGCTTGGTTGATTTTAGTGTGTTTCGTAGAATAAATAACCTACCATAACCCTTGCATCCTTGATATTCTTTACGTTGCCAACAAAGAACAATTTTCCGACACCACGAATTTAGAGTCTTGAATGAACCCAACGTTCATGACATGCAGGAGGAAGCCGGAACATGGAGTTGTTCCCATGCAAGCACATGCACGTTCAAACTTTGGAACCTCTTAAGTATTGCAACAAACATGTAAACGATTCTCCCACCGGGCTCCCAACAAAGTTCATTTCTCTTGGTGAAATACAGTAACTACAAAGCAGGTAATACAGTACACAACACAGATTTTTTGTGTGTCATTTGAACACTTAACTATTGATGAATTAATTAACCATTACAAATGTGACACTATTGCATCATTACTTTCTGCCCATCATTTAGGAAAAAAAGCCATTCATATTCCCCAAAAATACGAGAGGGCTGCACGAAATTGGAAAAACATGCGTTCTGGGGGTTGACCATTGTGATGCTTAACATGGACCGCAAGAAATGACTGATCTAACAGAAGAAATGCATTTTTCAAGCAGCAAAATAAGCAGGCTGATTGAATTCTTCGCAATTATTATAAAACACACACACACACACGCACACATCCATTTTTTTATATATATATATAGTGATCCTCGCTATTTCTTCAGTGCATCGCAGATTTTTCAAACATATTCATGAAAAAAAAAATTTAAGTCCGCAAACAGTCCGCGAGAAGCAGCGAAAGTCAGCAAAACAACAGCGAGTCACAGAGAGCAACATATACAGTAATACATGTATATGTTTACTGTATTTTGTTACTCATACACTAACCTAACTTATACATGTTTAAATCTATTAGTGTACTGCATCAAGTAATGTTAATTACTACAAAATTTACTTCAACATGCATGTATACCATTAAGTTTGGCCTTATATTTTTTATACTCATACACATGTACCTATACGGGAGGGGGAGGTTGCTACTTCGCAGATTTTCGTTTATCGCGGGTGGTTTTGGTCCCTATTCACCGTGCGAAATGAGGGATTACTGTATATATACAGTATATGAAGTCCAAGACGGCGCCCGAGTAAGCAGCCATCGGCAAGTGCTCTCATGACCCTTGCTTTTATTTTGTTGTTTTTGTGTTTGTTTTGTCACTTTGTGTTGTTGTTGCGTCATGTAGACCGGGTTTGGATTGATTTTCAGCATTTTTTGGCGACGACATTCATCAAGGAGGAGACTCGGTGCTTGGTTGTTCCGCCTTCTTGGCAGCATGGGAATACCAGCACTGTTTTTGATTGGGAGGAATGTCGGTGGCATCTGACTGTCATTGCTGGACAGCTCTGGTTGACTTGTGGGTTTTTTTTTGTGCCTGTAATGGGCAGCATTTTACCCAGCCCCGCTTTGTTCAGCGGAGAGATCGGCGCTGTTGGACAGTCTGCGGCTGGATGGATGCAAGGCTTGAGGAGCCGACGATGAGAAGAAAGGAGCATCAGCACAGAGCGCCGATGCGGATGTGGAACTGGAGTCGCGGCTTGGAGTTACAGCGGATTATATGGGACAGGATATGTGAGACAATCTCTTTTCGTCAATGGACGCTACAGCTTCGTGTTTGCTTTCAAAACTTCGCTTGTCGCAGACGTGTCCACATTTTCAGCATGACGTCCCTGATCCACTGGTGAAAGGCCACTTTGATCCTCTCCTCTTTCATCTAGAACTGCTAGAAAACAACAAAGTGTATGCAAGAAAAGTGATCAAGATTGCACTACTGTCTGTGTCTTATGTGTTGTGTGGTGTTGTTTTGTTATTCTGACTTCAAGAGTGGCTGCCTTTCCAGCAGCTCCCATATTTAGTTCTTCTACTTCTTCCTTTCATAACTTTGCTGCTGTGAATTGGGAATTTCTCCATTGCAAGGATTTCTTATATATCCTTCCTGTGTGGAGCTTGCATGTTCTCCCCATACCTGTGTGGGTTTTCTCCAGGTAATCCGGTTTCCTCCCACATTTCAAAAACATGCATGGCAAGTTGATTGGGCACTCCAAATTGTCCCTAAGTGTGATTGTGAGCGCAAATGGTTGTTTGTCTATGTGTACCCTGTGATTGTCTGGCAACCAGTTCTGGGTGTAGTCCACCTACTGCCCGTAGACAGCTGGGATAGGCTCCAGCTTGTGAGGAAAACCACATTAGAAAATGGATGGATACATATCCCCTTAAATTTATTGGGTGGTAGTATCATCCCTCGATACTGTTCTAATGGATGACAACGTGCATTTTAGGCTGCATCTGATTGGTCAGTCAGATACAACAAGTACAATGATGAAACTTATCGTACGTGTTTGCAACATGAAATACTGCAAGGGACATGAGCACCAATGCAATTGACTTCAATAATTCATCAAAAAAGACTTTCCATATAATTTGAAGTAAAGCTAGTACCCACAATTGCGTGGGTACTAGCTACTTCTTTTTGTGTGTGTTGGACAAACAGAATACAATTTTATTTGGACTGCTTGACAAGCAAATGAGAAAATTCTGTTTTCTATAGCTTAAAAACACAAGATTTTTGTTCACACAATGAATTTGACAGACTGGGTTTGAATCTATCAAACGAGTGAAAGGGGTAAAGCAGGAGGGACGTGGATTCCAAGTGTTATCTAAACAGCACAGATGTGAATGAGTGACCAGTACATTCCACAATCAACCCCGCAATGGTGTGCGTGTACTTGGCCCAGCATCTCTATCCAGCCCAATGAGTAAGCAAGCTATTGGCGAAACAACACAAGAGCCTCGAAGTCCTGGGACAGATCATTGAGCTAACATGGCTGCTTGTGAAAACTGCGACCTCCAAACTGTGCCGACATGAAGGCTTTCTGCAGAGGCACCTGCTCCTCTCCAGCCAATGTGTCCTCATCATCACCACAACAGCTAGAAAGAGCGCGCCGCAAAGCGATCTAGTACAGGCTTATCTTCTAAAATGTCGCGTCATAAAGACGCTGCCTGACTCAGTGAATAACTCAAAGCAAACCAACCCGCCATACAACGTGTGAAGTCCAAACTATGGTTTTAGAAACATATTGCGCACACACACACCAGTTAGCTCGCTTTATTAGCAGCGATGTCGAGGGAGGGTGAAGGAGAGATGGAGAATGAAAGAGAGCGCACAAACCTCGCGCCTTGTTGTCGCCGAATAATCCTCGCGAAACTGCTTCTCACACCAACAACAATAAATGAAGAAATGAAGAAATGAAAACGGACGATTGTATTGCGCGAGGCGCTAACAAAACTAATCTACGATGTGTCTGCGAACGCACACTTTGAAATGACGTACGGGATCCACCGTTGACAGCTCAGGCCAGAGAATTAGTGATGTGTCGTTCGCGAACGAACCGGCTTTTAGAGCCGGCTCTTTGAAGTGAACGACGGGAGACGGCTCCTAAAAGGGAGCCGCTTCTAATAGGAGCCGACTTTTTTTTCCTCCTGTTTTTTTTCCGCTCCTTCGGTTAAAGCCGCACGTGATTGGTTAAGATCCGTGGTAGAAGAGGGAGGGGAGGGTTACACACACACACACACACACACACACACACACACACACACACACACTGCAGTGAAGAGAATGGGGAGGAGTTAGAGACACACAAAACAGCAGCACACGAACAGGAGAGACAGGGAGACGAGAGAGAGCTCGATAGATAGCGCTACAGAGAAAAAACAACACAGTGGAAAGTGGAAAGGCGAGAAAATGGAAAGGAAACGCAGTGAAATTTGGACTCATTTCAACTTAATTGATAGTTCAAAGGCAACGTGTAGACTGTGCAAGGTTAAAATATCCAATATCAAATTTTAATTCATAATCTGTTGTGTGGTAATCAAATCTTACTTATGTTGTTTTACTGCAAATAGTTAAAAGCTTATAAATATACACAATCAGAGATTGGAACTTTTTGTTGACCTTGTTTTGAGATGGGTCTTTGTTTTTGTACTTTGTAATTTATTTTTTGTAGCACTCCATGTACTCCATGTTGAGTATGTTCAGAAGAATATAAATCAAGCCATATAAATAATAAATATTTGATATACTGTATAATTTTTACATTAGTAATTCATTTTACATATAATTTTACATTATTTTTGGTAGTAAATTAATTTAAGCAACAAAAAAACTGAGGAGCCATTTGGGAGCCGAAAGAGCAGGCTCTTTTTAGTGAGCCGAGCCAAAAGAACCGGCTCTCTAAAAAGAGCCGGAATTCCCATCACTACAAAGAATGTAACGGCTCGACTGCAAACAAATGCGCATGCGCATTTATGTAGATGCTCAGTGTTGGGCTTCGAAACGAAACGCCTTTCCCCGTTTCATCCAGCAGCCTATGTTCAACATAGGAGGCAGTTCAGGAAGTTCATTAATGTCAGTCACAAAAAGCATTTCACAAATAGTATATTCTTTAGTTGTTAAAAAAATCACGATAACTAATGGCGAATTGATTCATTTTGGTGTCCCCCCACCCCCACCGGTCCACTGGTGTTTACGTCATGCACACTGTGACAGCGGCATCTCAGATCCCAGCGCCAGAATTATCAAATCTTTTCAACACCACCAAACGGATATGGTCGGAGGAGATGCACCCTCAGACAGGAAGTGGTGGGAATTGATTCTGTGTTCGACCTAGACAGGAAGTGGTGGTGGGGTAGATTTTAAAATAAAAGCATTGCACTCAGACCAATTGGAAAAACGCGCATTAACGGCGCTTCCAGGAGACACTTTTTTGTGACGATCAATCAACGTAACTAATAATCACTGTTAGTTTATTCCGTAAAACAGTGAGTAGTATTAACTTTCTATTATGTAATGCTTCCGTGTGTAACGTACAATCTCTTTGTTAAAAACGCTTTATGCAGTTACGCGATATGCTGATGATTTGCACCTACTCCAGAGATCAATACGAGCATAACCCTTGTTTAAATTAATTTCCTCTGACCAGTTATTGTTAGATGCCCTTCGATTGGCTGGCAACCAGTTCAGCGTGTACCCCGCCTCCTGCCCGAAGACAGCTGGGATGAACGGATTAGAAAGTGGATGGTTGGATGAATGTACTCTTAACAGGAACAAATCACTATACAGTATTTTCAAAATCAGATTGACTCAAACATTATTTTACTGAAGGACTTATTCAACTGTAATGGTCAATTCCTTATTGGTTAACGGAAAAGGCATTTCCTGTTGAATTTAAATAATTTCATTCTGGAATGAATTCTAACCAGAGTGGAATAATAAGAATTATTGGAGTCTATTAAAACAAAACGATGAACCAGTACTTTATAGTAACCGCTATATACTCTAAACGATATTGACATTCTGAGCACTAAATGTTCCAACAAACACATCATGAATGTACTTTTCAAAATTCCATTAATTCTTTTTTGATGGAGGTCAACAATTATTTCAAAACTCTTCATTTAAAAAAAAAAAAAAGAATATGTACTTTTTTTTTTACACTGCTGTCTGTAGCCAACTCGGAATTGGAAAAATAAAGTTGAATAAACGAACATGAAATATAGAAGTCCTGAAAAAAAATCATTTTCATTTTTTGGTTCATTTGGTTCACAAAAGATAGTGCGCGAAATAGTAATTGTGGAAGAGCGAACAAGAAAACGCCGAACCATTGTTTTGTGTGACGTCATGTGTTTCCGGGTTAAAGTTCACAACAATAATAATGGCGGTGGCATGCTTTTGGTAGGCATGCAGTCGGAGTTTTAACGTAGGTTAGAAACGAATAGAACAGAATGAAGGAGACTCCTTTGTCAAATTGCGAGCGAGATTTCTTGCTTAAAGCCATCCAAGAGAAAAAGGTAAATATTGCCATTTCGTTTTGGAACCACATGAATCCGACAAAGCATTGTCAATGTTTTTGTGTTATCACTGAAATGAACCAAGTGCAAGTATTTCGCGGATAAAACGTCCACTGTGCTGTTGTCTCGTGTATATGGAGTCAAGTGTACATGGATCGATGCATTTCTTCCTGCAGCGCCTGGATGGACGGCAGACTTATGACTACAGGAAATTAAAGATCATGTTTGGGACTGACTTTGGATGCTGTTTCGTGGAACTGGGCAAAACGAGGTGAACGACTGACCACAAATAGAACACTTTAAATGTTATTCTGTTTAAAATGTGATATTGTGCTCTGTGATGGCAAAAATGTTGACCTGTTTTGACGGCAAGTGAAAAATGAAATTCATTCTGTTTTCCATCTAGAGATACAGTAAAGGTAAATTTCTCAATGCTCTCAATACAGTATGCACACAAACCTTGATTGCCATTTCAAGTCGTGATGGAACAGGGTCAGTCAGCATTTGTATAATCACTGAAATAATACCACGTTAGTTTGGTTTTGCCTGGTTCCTTGATTGAATCCGTTCGTAGTCAACGTGTCGATAAGGATATGGTATGAAATTAATCAATTCTTCTGGCCATCCGGTGTTCCCAACTTGAAAAAGGGACTTTTCAAATGATTGTTTATTGATTATGCTAATGAATAAAGAGGCGATGGGGATTTTATTCATATTTATGAAGAAACAATCTTTTCTCCAATGTGTTTGGGCTGTCTGTTTCTCTCTTTGGAAATACGGTCTCCGGCCATTGAGAAAATCCTACACAGGATGCAGGGGTGCAAAATACACTGTACCTGTGATGTAATGTCATTGCATCCAGGCAGATTGTGTGTGGTACCTTAAGCCCCCATCCAACTGAGCTGTGAACAGTTGCGAGTGTTTTCGAAGGCAGTGAAGGTCAGGGTTAGTTTTTTCTTGTTGCAAGGGAATTTTGAACATTTTTTGTGACTGTTTGGCAAATATTTACCATTGAATGAGCACTGACGAGAACGCACCATTGGCTGCCTTTGAAAACACTTGCAATTGTTTGCAGCTCAATGGGATAGGGGCTTTACTCAGAGAGATTTACTGAAATTGTTTTTTTAGTTGGCTCCATGAAGGAATAATCACCTTTGTCACAGGCAAATATTGTATGTTCATCAATCGCACCAACACTCGAACCATTTCCTGAACCAGTGATGTCTCGCACCTCATCTATGACATCACTCGTCTCTCGGGAATCACGGCATACGATCTTCAAGCATCGCATTTTCTCTCAAAAGCACAGCACCTACTAAATACTCACAATTCTTTGGTTTAAAGACAAAAAAAACAACCCTTCTGCATCACTGTATTTTCAAAATGCTGAACATGCTTCTTGAGTTGTGCTCATCAAGCATTCCATTAACGCTTTTTCTCCCACATAACCTGTTTAAGGTCATGCATGATCTGATCTTGTCAACGTATCCATACATCTATTTTGTGATTCTTTTCTTGATACAGGGTAATGGCTCAGGTATCCTGTGAGCTCGTCGCTCCCAAAGAGAACCGACCAAATGAGGGAATCATGTTCTTCAATATAGAGCTGTCACCCATGGCTTCACCTGCATTCGAACAGGGCAGGTAAATCAAAAAACTGACAACTGATTTGTTTGCGTAATTGTACTCTCCATTAAATGAGTGTGTGTATTTAGTTGCTGCACCTGAGGGCGTGGGGGACGGACACATATCACATATTGCTGAATTACTTCAGAGAAAATAAAAACGGCTCATGAATTTCTTTCTCTGAAGACAGTCAGAGTTGTCGGTGAAGCTAAACCGACAGCTGGAGAGATGCTTAAGGAACTCCAAGTGCATTGATCTGGAGTCCTTATGTGTGGTGTCCGGCGAAAAGGTAAACCTCAACAGTTGAAAAGTCAAAAGCCCTTTCTCTGTGGTTGATGGTGACCGCGCCACATTTCTATGACCAGGTATGGCAAATTCGGGTGGATGTACACATGCTGAATCATGATGGCAACCTGATGGATGCCGCCAGCATCACCGCAATCGCCTCCCTGTGCCACTTCAGACGACCTGATGTTGGCATCCAAGGAGATGAAGTCACTGTGGTGAGTCAGTAATAGTCACCGCAGTTTATAATCATTTATTCTGAGTGCCATGCTCTGTGTATATGCTGCAACCGGTTGTTTCTGCTCTCCCAGTATAGTCCTGATGAAAGAGATCCCATTCCTCTTAGTATCTACCACATGCCCATCAGCGTCAGCTTTGCCTTTTTCCAGCAAGGGTAAGATTGCAGCATATAAGACAGATTTTAATATATAAAAGTGTTTCAGTCTGTTTGAAAAACACAAGAATATACAGATAGTTAAGGCAGATTAATGTGAAATGATTTCTGAGCATTTCCTTGATGTACTAAAACACCGTTTTAGAGTGCCACCGCAGTATCTGGTTATGAAGCACTTTCTTGTACCGGTACTGTTCCTTTTGGTTTCATATACAGCACAGTTTGTGTGTAGAGACTTACTGTAGCGGTGATCTCGGGAGGGCATATAAAAACCCACTAGTGATTATTTCATGCTTCCTCCTGTGAAAACGGTCTAAGCTCCACAGGGAAAAGTGACAATAAGTAATCTATAACGTCACCTCTCTAAAAATGACCATGTAAACAGTCCTACAGCTTCATCAGTGGTCCGTTATGAATTGTAAGGTTTGCAAATACTTCACCTTCAACCCCATTGTTAGTCCTTTGCTTGTGTCAGATATTAGAGCATATATACTAATGCTGCATGTTGCTAACCTACAGACGACTATTCATATTTAAATTGTTGATGAACACAAAGTACGACGAATTTGGAATGCACTGCCTATTATGAGTGTCATCCGTTCTGCGACTAAGCTTGTAAATTGAGTACCGGTAATTTACTTGTACATCAAATAACATTTCCCCATTGAAATGAAATACCGCTTGTCTGTTCCAGGCCCCACAAAATCCAATTTTTTGTGATATATTTTTTCGTAAAGAAATGTGGCACAGTATTGTAAGGTATAAATATAAAAGCATAATATAACATAATAAACGGGTTTGTCAGGAAATGAACTGGTTTTATAGATTGTAATTAAACTGAAAGTCTCGCTGCCTTTAAAGTGCGTGACCTAGTGAGTAATATCAGGAGCACTAACTCCAGATCAGATTCGCCATCCACATTAATGCGGTTAGTTCAGTGTTTGTGGCTGCTCCATGTTCCTTGTGAGTGTCTTCACTTTGTATTTGTGTGTCAAAGACAAATGCAGCCTTGCTTGACTACATTTACTTTGATTTTGTTTTATAATTATTCCAAGCAAGAGATTAAATACAACTACTGGAACAAGCCTCGTCTCCACTGCGTAGTGGAAATATGCAAAAACGGAGTCAAGCCCAGTTTGATTACTTATTGTGCCTCTTGCTTTCTATGCAGGACCTATTTGCTCGTAGATCCATGTGAACGGGAGGAGCGCGTCATGGACGGCTTGCTGATGATTGCAATGAACAAGCACAGGGAAATCTGCTCCATCCAGTCGAGTGGCGGCATCATGTTGCTCAAAGAGCAGGTTCATGGACTTCTGTTACTGGCTTTTGGAGTTTTTACTCATTGAAACAGCGCATTGTTATCTTTCTGGCATTGAAGGTAATGAGATGCAGTAAAATAGCCAGCGTCAAAGTGTCTGAAATCACAAAACTCATCATGAAAGCTTTGGAGAATGACAAAACAGCCCGGTGAGTTGACACACCCATATGTGAGCATTAAATGGTGGAAGTCCAGCTCCTATTCTATGCTAACATTACGATATGAATGTTTTCCAGGAAGGCAGGTGGCAAGTGTGGCTTTGCAGAGTCTATGCCTCAAGAGCGAATCACTGCTTTAAAAAAGGACGAGACGGCAGTTGAAATGACAGATGTGACCGAACGAGCCAATGATATTGTCCTGAACGCCGAGGTTCCTCCTCAGACGTATCTTTCATCTGACGTAAAAATAAAGTTTTTTTTTTTTGCTTTCTTTTGTATTTAATTGTGGAACCTTAATAAGCCAATACTAGAAGTCAGTCGCTGCTCGTGCCACTCCCAGGCATGGGACAGGTGGGCAAAGATCTTCAAAACAGCTGGGGAATCGAGGAATATTACCAAGATGAGGAGGAAGCTTTCAACAGTGATGAAGATAAGCAAACAATGATGGAGGTTGGCGAAAAACAAAAAGTACACGGTAGGGAAAGTGTATTTCTTCAGTGCAATGGTGTCCAATTGAAAGTTAATTCTCATAATTTCAAGGAAGCAATTAACTGACCTGAGTTTGCCTTTCATTCCAGAAGATGTGGTTGAGATATCTGACAGCGAAGAAGATGAAGTGGTCATACTTCAACCAGAGGCAACGGACAGAGCTCACAAGTAAGAATTTCCTGCAACCTTTAACCCACCTTTAGCAGAGGTGAAAGGAACTCATATATGTGCAAGTTTCAAGTTGTTGTCAAAAAAAAAAAAAAAATCAAGCAAGTAAAGTCACCATCAAATTTCAAGCAAGTGCAGTCATTGCGTCGTTTCGGTCGGCAGTCATGTCATACAATCTGTCAGTCCCAATATATATTGGAGTGGTGAAATTAGTTTTCACTGATCATAACACAAAAAAAAGAACGTTTTTAGCTTTAAAGATTAAATGGACACGAAAAGTTTCCATTTATAAGCGGATGGGCTCACATTTGCCGACACAGTATCTCAGTCTGTTTTTACTTCCCTTTTTAAAAAAGATTTTCTTGTTCTCCCCATTTAGTTGTACCAGGTATAGGTCACAGTAACGGTTGAAAAGATTTGGAAAGGATTTATTTTGGTCCCATGTTTGTATGGCGCTAAACCTGTTTTTTGAACAGTGCATGTAGAAGTGTAGCTCATGTCCACTTTGTACTGAATACACTTCTCCCATACAGGAAGACAAGCTCAAGTTCCCACCTGAAGGAGCCAGCGAAATCAAAGAAACGCCACAGAAAATGAGAGAGATTTATAAAGCTTTGTTTCCAGAAGCAGTAACACTGTGAGACTGCAGTCCTGTTACAATGATTTCTTCTGACTTTTCTTCAAACCCGATTAATCTCTGCAAGAATATAAACTTGTACTTCCTGCTTATTTTTCATTGGAGCTTGTCAATAGAAAAGAGCACGCGTATTAATAGTCTCAAATAATATCGGAATATACAAACATGTACAGTATATATCAGGGGTCTCAAATACCTGGGGGCCGCTGGAGCTTGGATCTGGGTGAGGCTGGGCCGCATCAGGTTTTCAAAGAAAAAAAATGCATTTATTCAAATATACATTGTAACAATACAGTATATACCAGAGGTCTCCAATTCGCGGCCCACAGGATGCTAGTTTGAGGACCCCGCCTTGATATTAAAGTTTAATGATAGTCCGGCCTGCGCAAGTTTGATTTGGATGCTGTAGCCTGTGTGTTGGTACTACCTCCGTTCTAAATAGTTAGGTCTGTCTCATTCGAAGGCCGACAGCTTCGGAGCACCCTGACTAGCTGCAACGGGACCATGCCCACGGTGCCCCGCACCAGCTTGAATGCACGTGTAGATCACGCAGGTCAACAACCCGCCACTGCTGCTTAATACACATTAAACAGATACACACCCCGCACCACCCCTGGCAGAAATGAACAATATATTTGTCACTTTTGCTTTATTTTACAAAGTAACTTCTCAATGTTAATGTTTAAAAAAACGTTCAAAAAATAAGAGATAAAACAATTCAGTCTTTATAAAACACTCAATGTGGCACCATATACCCAAATACATAAAAATAAATAATTAGAAAAAAAGCCACTACTATTAAATACACATTTGGAATTAAACATAAATAAGGAACTTTACATACAAATTCCCCCAAAAATGTGCAAGCACCAGTTGGTAGAGGCCCAACAGCGGCATACGTCTGCATTTCCGGTCTGCAAAATCAGTATTCAGATCATCACCTGAGAGTTTTTGAGCAATTTCCCCATTAGGGTCGGCTGGTGCTCCGTGCGGCGACGATGTTGCCGCCGTCAACTATTTCGAGTCGCTAAATTCAGTTTAAATTCATCTCTCCTTTTATTATTTATAATTTTATCTGTGGTTTTATTGTTCTTGTTTTGATTGTAAAGTGTCCTTGAGTGTTTTGAAAGGCGCTTATAAATGAAATCTATTATTATTATTATTATTATTATTAATGCTGATGATAGCCAAACCACTTATTACCACTTGTTATTATGTAGGCCTATATTTAAAACACGGGTACATGAAAATTTCAATATTCTACCTTTATAGACAAGCACTGATAGGGCGCTATATAAATATTCTGGACAGAATGTGATAACAGTGAATATGAAATGGAGAAATCTACACAGTTTTAAGATCGATTTTTTTTCCAAATTACAGTTTTACCAGTAGATGTCGCTCTAGGCCTATGAAGCTCGTGAACATGTCGGCATAGCCGTTGAATACAACCCAACTTTTTTCATAGCGTACTCAATGTGCTGGTCACAACTTTTCCACAACAGCGTTTTGGGTTGGTTGTTTTTGGCGAGCTTGTATCACGCACGCACGCGCGCGCACACACACACACACAGAATGGCCTCTCCATATGAGCTGATATGATAAACTAAATGAGTGAATTTGATTTTTTTTCATGGTAAACAATACATTTACATTATTTATTACCTGGTGGAGGCTAAAATAACTATGCAGTTACCTAGTTCATGGGTACGTGCATGACTTATCTTGTCTATAAACGACAAAACTGGTTTCAGACCTCTTTAAATGCAACCAGCGTCGGGAACACGCTTGCTTGTCACCAAATATTGTAATTCATATTTATCCATCCATTTTCTAATCTGCTTATCCTCACAAGGGTCGGAGGCGTTCTGGAGCCTATCCCAGCTGTCTTCGGGCAGCAGGTGGGGTACACCCTGAACTGGTTGCCAGACAATAATTTACACTCATTAATGGAACATGGAGTCTGGAGAGGGGGAGACCCACAGTGATGAGCAACAGCCATAACCACCCCTAACATGAACGAAGCAGAAAAATATAGTGGATACAAGAGTGTTTTGAGTTCATGAAAAGGAAATCACTGCCTACTTTAGTCGAGTCCTGACGCAGAGGCATGGGACGCACTTTTGCAGCGTCAGAAGAAATTATTGTACGTACGTGTACCGTTTTAAAATGCTTCTCCTGCCGCTCCATTCTTTGCCAGTGCCATCAGTGAATTGCACATGAAACAAACTTTGAATGAGAATAATAAAAAATAAAGCAGATATATGGCAACAGATCTGATCGCAAGCTGCAAGTGCAGATTGCTGAGCGCAAACAACTTCAGGTGATGCAGGTCACGCGCCGCCGTAGGTTAAAGGTGACCTGCTTTGTTATATTATTTTATTTTTATTTTTTTGTGCTAGTGAAACTGAGAGGATGCTTAGGGTGCAGTGTGCACTAACACAAAAATATAGAATATTAATTATATATATACATACAGTGGGGAAAAGCGGCTGGGATAGTCAAGTCATCTTTATTGTCAAATGCATTGTATGTGCAACATACAGCAGAGATGACACTTCGTACTTGACTTGATGAATGGAAAAATACAGGGTCAGGCAAAATGATCTGACACATTTGTAGGTTAAATAAAAGGCAAATAAAGTAAAGAAACAATTGATTTTTTTCGAAGAGTACCTATACTGTAATGCCATTCTGTTTCATTATGTTTTAAAAATTAAATCAGTCAAATAGGGTCCATTATTGTCCACACACTGTCGAAGGCGTTCACGAAGGTTGTCTATAACTCAGCGGGTCATTCCATGTGGAATGTCGGTAATTTCTTGATGAATTGCATCTTTAATGTTGTTAAATAGATCGAGGATGATTTATATTTACCTTTGACTTGAGGTATGCCCAGAGAAAAAAAAAACGCACGGATTTAAATCAGGTGAACGGGCAGGCCACCCGATGTCACCACGCAATGAGATCAAATGACCAGGGATCATCTCCCTCAAAATCCCCATCGCACGTCAAGAAGTGTGGGCTGTTGCCCCATCCTATTGAAACCAAACATTGTCCATATCGTGGAGCATATTCAAGTTTGGTCTGAGAAAAAATCTAATCAAAGGACTATTCTATTCTATTTTATTTGGTCATTTTCATTCTCTAACAACAGAGAACATTATAGGCATCTGGACATAAGTCAGGATCTCCCTTCTGCTTTTGTATTTGGTTCCAGGTCGGTTTACAATTATGTCAATCAATGATGTATTTGTGATGTATGTGTGAACCCAAGTGTTGAATAACAGATGCTCAATGCAATTGTGCTTTTTACTAATAAATCTTATGGTATACTCTCTTGATATACATTTTGACCAGGGTGAACAGCAGTTAATGGTTTCTAACTGCACGTTTGCAGTGTTACGGTATCTGCAGCTTGTTCTCACAATGTTATGAAGACAGTTATCCATTAACTAAGAATCAGACACTAGAGCGTCATTGGATAATAAGCTTCAGTGATCCTGAACAGCCCTTTGGCGCAAAATACTTTGTTGGAGTCCATTTCACTCACTTCTCCCTGAGGGAATATTTAATGCCAACTTTTTTTAAAAGCATAAAAAAGACAATCTGTCCTCAAAATGGCACTGAAGTAATATATCCACACAGTGTGGTCTAAAAATAATAATAATATCAAAAGGAATGTTCTTTCAACTCTCTGCCCCTGCCCTTTGATTCAAATTGTTCATATTCTTTCTATGAATGACACATTCACTGATGGATTTATTCAGTATAAATCCATCCTGTTTACATTGATTGGTGTTGATCAGAACGTTTTTCCCATGCATTAAACAATGAACGTTGACAGAGATTTTCTCTACGGCCTGTCCTGTTTAGTGTCATTGGAGACTAACTGAGCTGACTTATGGCATATTTCAATATCCAATGTGCGATTTGGCCTCTTCACTTCAGCTACCAACACCATGCATGTTTTGTGAATGCAGGAGACAGCCAGAACCATGCATGCGAGTACAGGTGCTGGCATTCAAACTTCACACAGGATGCGTGATGCGAGATTCAAGCCCAGACCTGTGCTAGCAACTGCATCACTGAGCTCCACAACAAAAGTATTTCTCTTGAATTCTGTCGTATAATTTCTTACACTAATTGCGGGTGCTGCACTGAATTAGCCTCAAGTCTCAAAGAAAAATGTATTTGTCTGCCTCCATGACATCTGCTGCTGTTAGACTTGCGGAATAAATTGAAGTCATCTAATTGTCGTATACTTTAAGGTTAGATTATATTATTATGATAAGGTTATATATTATATTATTATGAAAAGGTTATAGATTTTTAAGGTTAGATTATATTATTATGATAAGGTTATAGATGATATTATTATGCTGAGGTTATCATGTGTAAATGAATATTTCATTCTGCTATCACAATAGGCGTAAGTATGAAAAGCGTAGACGACAGGAGCCTGTTGTGGCCCGCGGTGACCGTAGTGGAGTGGATGCGTCTGTGTGGGATGGGCCCTGAACGCACCATTCACGTCCATCAAACACAGACAACCACGGTGAACTTGAGGGGTAGCAGGGGGGAGGAGGGATGAGGGAACATGAGTTAACTTTATAAACGGATGTCCTCCCCTCCTCCTACTCCTGATGACTGCCGCGAGTGCGAGTCATTCCCATCAAAGCCCACTAGACTGCACGAAGGACGCTGCAAGTTAACGCTATATCAGCATGGACGTCGATGTAAAGACGATGAAATATACCGAGAGGGTAAACGAAGAGGCTTCCAGGGACTCCTGCTTGAGATGCATCCCGCTCAACTACCGCACCGAACTGGTTCAACTTCTCAAACTCGCCGGACCGGTGGTAAGAATACGACTTAACATGAATATAGTACCTGCTTTCCTTCTCTTTCGTCCATATTTTTCTTGGTTATTGAGCATGTATATATAGTGTTTCCACAAAGACTCTTTACAATTCTTATTATTATTTGAGTAATTTATTTCGAACATGCATAAAAAATAACACTAAGCTATGATATAGTAACTTAAACTTAAAAAAAATATCACAACCCTCAATCATACAAAAAGCAAAGAAAAACAGCATAACAGTTCGAAATAATGAGTATAACAAAGGTAATGAATTAACCGCTGACACATGCAGATGCATGGACATGTTCGAAAAGGAGTGGGGGAGTATGAAC